AGAATACCATTGCCAAAGTCTTCTTCTCGATTTGGTCATAAATACCTTAGAGGACGCAGCCTTGCTAGGAAGCCTTGGATAGGTTCAAGAAGGCGGTCGTGAGTGGTGGTGGTGGTGAGGTGGATTGATACTTGTTCAGTGTCTTTGAAGAGTGTGCCTCTTCAGCCTAAACTCATCCTTCTGTGAGCTCAGCCCCCACTGCATACTCAGATGCATCCGCCGCTACTTTGCCCGTCCAAAAATAGGGCCACATAGGCGCCTTCACCTCGCACGACCGCCTTCTTGCGCCTATCCAAGGCTTCCTAGCAAGGCTGTGTCCACTGACACTGTATTCCCTTCTTCTTCAACGCGTTCAAGGGTTCTAAGGTGCTATGGAAGAAAACGTCTTGAGGAACAAGAAGTAGATAATCTTCTTGGTAGGGTACTCCTACTCCTTTTCATCCTGCGGTGGGGGGAGGTTCACCATAGCCTTCACGTGCTCCTCCGTGAGCAACACATGACTTGCTAAATGTAGGAAGTCGAATATTTGTTTAAGTGCGTACGAGACTGCACGCATTATTACATTACGCAAGATGGAAGTGGGTGCAGTTTATAAGCATAGGAAAGCGAAGCTAGAAGTCGAAATGGTAAATGGTACGACGCAATGTGCATATTGGGCTTGGATTCGTTCAGCTCACTAGTCTTCGAGGTAGTGGACGAACAGAAAGAGCTACAGCGAACGGGATTCATGCGACATACTGGAAGAGATGCAAAGAGGTTTCTTGGAAGTTTTCAAAGACGGTTGGAAGAACGTTAACTTGCTAGGTCCATCTGATGTAGAAGGGCTATAAACACTGGTTGTATAAGGCAAGGTCAGTCCGGTGGACACTTGAAAAGGAAGTGGAGGCGGAGTTAAAGAAATGAGAGGCCGAAGGGTGATTAATAGAGTGTCCACCAGCCAGTGGGTCTCACTATTGGTTTTAGTCCAGAAGCAGAAAGGGGTAATGCGAGTGTGTGGGGATTTTATCTGTACCGTCAACGAGCAGCTGAACATGAAGCAGTACCCAATCCCGATTCCAGAGACTATCCAACTCTGGAACAACGCTTCGCGAAAATCGAAGCTAGAAGTCGAAATGGTAAATGGTACTTGCTCAGCACGTGACCCAAGACTGCCACCTCGTCTTTGAAAATATCCCATTTGTTCTTGTTTACTCTGGGGCCGTTGTCTCGCACGACCGCCAAAATCTTCCGGAGTATCTCCTTGTTTTTTTTCTTTCCTGAGACGCGCGTTAAGATGATGCCATCCAAATAATGCATGCAGTCCCCCAGCTGCGCTGTGAACTGCTCCAAACACCTCTCTCTGGAACAACGCGGCTGCCGAGTTCACGCCGAAGGGCAATCGGTTAAACCTGAACAGCCCCAAGGGCATGTTGATTACTAGAATTGCCCACCGAGATCTGCAGGCGTTTCGAAAGTCGATTTTCGCGAAGCGTTGTTCCAGAGCTGGATAGTCTCTGGAATCGGGATTGGGTACTGCTTCATGTTCAGCTGCTCGTTGACGGTACAGATCAAATCCCCACACACTCGCATTACCCCATTCTGCTTCTGGACTAAAACCAACAGTGAGACCCACTGGCTGGAAGACACTCTATAAATCACCCTTCGGCCTCTCATTTCTTTAACTCCGCCTCCACGTCCTTTTCAAGTGTCCGCCGCACTGACCTTGCCTTATACAACCAGTGTTTATAGCCCTTCTACATCAGATGGGCCTGGCAAGTTAACGTTCCCCTCAACCATCTTCGAAAACTTCCAGGAAACCTCGTTGCAGCTCTTTCAGTATGTCGCAGGAATCCCGTTCGCTGTAGCTCTTTCTGTTCGTCCACTACCTCGAAGTCTAGTGAGCTGAACGAATCCAAGCCCAATATGCACATTGCGTCGTACCATTTACCATTTCGACTTCCAGCTTCACTTTCCTATGCTTATAAACTGCACCCACTTCCATCTTGCGTAATGTAATAATGGGTGTTGTCTCGTACGCACTTAAACAAATATTCGACTTCCTACATTTAGGTGACTAGTGTCTACGTTTATCAGGGCGACTGCCGCACCCAAGCCCGCTAGAAACTGAACCGGTACTCCCGCTAACTGACGTTTCACTACCAGCCTTGATTGTCCCTTCATGTCCACACCGCGTGTATTACGTCAATGTCCATCTTTTCTTCGCCTCCCGAGACTGCGAACGCCTGACAGGCAAGCGCCTGACAGACGCGATATCCTGGCAGAGCTGAGCGGTCTAGATGGTGGCGACACCACGCGACCAG